TGGAGAAGAGGAGGCTGAGGGGAGCCCTCATCGCTCTCTGCAACTGCCTGAAAGGAGGCTGGAGCCGGGGGGGGTCGGTCTCTTCCCCCCAGGAACAAGCGATGGGACGAGAGGGAACGGCCTCACACTGCGCCAGGGGAGGTTTAGGTTGGGTATTAGGAAAAACTTCTTCCCCGAAAGGGCTGTCAGGCCCTGGCCCAGGCTGCCCAGGGCAGGGGTTGAGTCCTCATCCCTGGAGTTATTTAAAAGCCGTGTAGACGTGGTGCTTAGGGACATGGTTGAGTGGTGGGCTTGGCAGTGTTAGGTTTACAGTTGGACTTCATTATCTTAAGGGTCTTTTCCAACCTTAACGATTCTATGATTCTATGAAGTCCGTGTTGCGCTGTATCTTACGGGTGAGTCTGTGAAGCCTGGAGAGGAGTACCAGACATGCCCAAAACAGCTTCAGGTCCTAAAGCCCTAGAAGTGAGATTTTTTTTTTCAGGATCCTGGTGGTGCTCTACAGGAGCTCATAATCCATGAACAGAAGCCTCGACCACCAGCTGGGCAAGGGTGGAGAAAAATCACACCCTCCTCTGTACATGGTAAGAGGGCGATGCAGGAATACACATCCTGGTGTTCCTATGAGTGCCACTACACAGACAGCAAATTTCAACTGCTCTGTCATGGGATGCAGCTAAAATCTGGCTCGCTGAGGCTGCACAAGCTAGACGTGGGGATTTTACATGTCCCAGCATCCATAGGTGACCCTACAGCTAATGGACAAGATCTACCGGCATCCAGATTCCCTTTGGTGGAAGTCATCACTGCCTGTAGGAGTTACGTTCCTGAGGAAAAGTGATGAGTTTGGCTGATCCTGAGACTCAGTGCAAAGAAAAGAGACAAAGCAAATGAAGAGTTCTAGTCATTAGCTACCAAATAAGCTAAACATTAGGGAATGGGTAGATTTGGCTCCCTTTTCTCATCACTTAACCAGCCACAACTGCCAAGCATATGGACCACGAATAAACGGGAATTTAATCAGAACTAGAGATGGAATTCTGCTCAGCCAACTCCGGATATGCATGTCTCCGGGCTAGCTATCCAATTCCCTTCTGAGCCGATGGAAAAAAACTGGGCATCTTTAATCTGACCCGTTTTAGACATCTAGATTAGAATAAGGCAAAAGAAACACCTCTCCAGTGAGAGGAGAGCTGGGCAAGTGCTTCATAAGCAGTGGTCTCACAAAGCAAATGTCAACACCTGGGCGAGATGACTCCCACCTTGAGCATGGAGACAGTTCACTCACTCTGTCATTTACATTCTAGAAATTTGTGATAAAGGGAAATTCGTGATAAAGGGATAAAAGGGAAATTCCCTTTTTTGTCTTAGCCCAGGAACACTCTTCCATTGATCCCACATTTAGAAGCGAGTTTACTACTTGCTTTATCATTATCTCATGATAGCAGTCCCCGATGTAGAACAGCAACAGTGGAAGGCAGATGCGAAGAGATGAAAAACAAACAGACTATTCCCTGATGACAACAGCGGGGAGACTTTCTAACAGAGTGAAGCAGCAATGGAGATTCTCACCTCTGAAAGGAATCCACTTCTTGTAGGAATTTTTCACACATCCCAAAAAGGGGTTCCACTCTGTAATGAAGATAACATTAGTTATCTTTGTTTTAAATAAAGAAAACTGGCTCTATGGCTATAAGCATTTAGGTGTTTTGGAATCTAGTCCAAGCTCCTAAAAACTACAAGATCTTACAATTTTGAGGCCAGAAAGGTGTTCCCCACAAAACAAAACAAATTTAAATAAATAAAATAAAAATTTATTGCCGTCTCCCTCCCCACATCCATATACCCCTCCCACAAAAAAAAAAAAAAAAAAACACATTTGCGTAAGGCACTAATTAAGTTCCCAAAGCCACTGTTAGAACTTTCTACCTATAAAACAAGAGGTTAAAAGGCAAATATATTATGGACTTCTATGGCAACACAGTAAATTGATGGCAACAGACTCGAAACAAAAGTAAACAAATTAGGACATTAACCACTTTGCTCTAATTCCACCAAATGGAGTTCTAATTCCACAACCATCCAAACCCATGTGTAACTTCATTGCCCTCAGCAGCCAAAACGAACCACACAGAGCCTCTCCTCTTACCTCAGCCTTGCATAAACATGAGCATTTTGTGTCTGAGTCACACAAACATTAGCTGCAGATCAGTCAAAAAGACAATTCTTTTTTGATGCTAAAAACTCAGCAACTAATACTTAATGAAGCAAACACAATTAATGCATTTTGATACATGACTTTTCCTCATTTAAATAGGTCCCATCAACTCTAAGACACACTCTAGATTTTGAACCTATTCATATGTTCATAGCTGAGAAAACTCAACCCCCTGAACATGTCTTCCTAATAATTTTGTCATCTAATTTAGTATTGTGCCACTCTACAGCTACACCAAAGGCAAAAGAAGGCTCTTCATGCTGAAGTAGTTTAGCAAATGGTTATTGGCATGCCGTGATGATTTATGCGTCTAATTTATCCTTGCTGGTTTTTTAAACAAAGCTTGAGGAAACTAAGCTTACAGTTAACCCTCAGAAGGTCCTTTTACCAGGTCATCCTTACCCTCTAGTGGTACGCGCAGTCACTATAAGCTGTAACGCCTTCGCCTGCAGTCTCATGTGGTGAATAATGACCACTTGTCTGCTTTCCACGCCGCTGTACATGAACTCCATTTTATACGTTTCTTCCAAGATCTGTCAGACAGACACCACAGGGGTTACAAGCCATCAGACTCCATTAAACTCTTGCACAAGCAGGATCACAAGATTCTGATATCTTGCCTCATACTGAGGAACACATTAATTCACAAGTCTCATTCTTTTGGTGAAATCCTTCACGGCGTGAAGTGGCACCTAATACTAAAAGGTTATCTTGGCTATATTAAAGAAACAATTCATGAAACTTGGCCTGAAATCAAGCACTCCCTCCACTGGCAGTCTATCTTTTGACATTGCATTTTAGATTTCTAGGGGGAAAATGCTCACCGACTCCCGCTGGCCACTCTGGAATATAAAACGTGAGCAGCACAACAGAGCAACCGCAGTGGTCCTGCTCAGGTTTACATTTTTGGAGCTATATTTGACAAAGTTCTCTTGGAAACAACTTTACATTCAACAACATTTCACGTACTGCAGCTGAAGATGGGAACTCTCACAAGGTAAGTATAATTCTGGGTTATTTTAGATACGTGGTTAAAAGCTTAGACAGCACATTGCACAGTTTTACTTGTACTTAATCTGTCAAATAGGTGGGCTTAAGTAGACAAGGGAAGTGCTCAAATTAATACAGTTGAGTTCAGTATGACTGTACAGAAACCAAGAACTCGCAAGTTATCTAATAGGAAATATTCCCTCACTTTGCATTGACGGGAAGTGTTCTACATTCACAATCACAACAGATAAAACTTCCCAGGGGGTTCACATGCTACTGCGAAGGGCACCCAAGACAGACAGCGCAATTAGAGGAGATGTAAAAAGCTGATAGGCTTTTGTTTCTACTCTCCCTGGGGACAGCTGTCAACAGCACAGAAGGTTTTGATGCACAGCAGTACCTGCCTCTTACTACATCTTAATTAACTGAAGACTCAAAATGCCAGCATAGTTTCCCAGCAGATCCACGTACTTGCTTTTACCCTAGATTTGTTTCCCGATTATTTAATAGCTTGCTTTCTCCTTTACCTTTTCTTACTGTTTAGCTTCAGTTTTTCCAGGATCAGATCATTCGTACATCACAGAATCAGAATAACTCAGGCTGGGTGGGACCTCTGGAGGCCATCTAGCCTGGTCCCCTGCTCAGCGCATGTCTAATTAGATCCAGTTACTCAGGGCCACATCAAGCTGTGAACGCTTCCAAGGACGGAGATTCCCCCCGCCTCTCTGGGCAACCTGTTCCAGTATTTAACCTCCCTTACAGTAAATTTTTTTCCCCTTGTATCTAACCAAAATTTCTCATATTCCAACTTGTGTCCATTGTCTCCTGTCCAGAGCAGTCTGGATCCATCTCATCTACATCTTACGATGAGGCAGTGACAGGGAGCAGTAAATCCATCCTGAAGCCTTCTCCTCTCCAGGCTGGACAAACCCAGTTCCCTCAGCCTCTCCTTGCAGGGAATGTGCTCCAGCCCCTGACCACCCTGGTGGCCCTCTGCTGAACGTGCCCCAGTTTGTCAGCATCCTCCTCCTACTGGGGAGGCCAAAACACAACACAACACAGCCCTCCAGATGTGATCTCCCCAGAGCTGAAGAGAAGGGGAGGATCACTTACCCAGACCTGATGGCTACGCTCTTGTATGGATACAGCATCCACTGCCTTCCCCTTCTCCACAGCACCAGTCTCCTCATCATAGAGGGCCATGATGTTGGTCAGGTGTAGTTTCATAGACTCATAGAATGGATTGGGTTGGAAGGGACCTTTAAAGCTCATCTAGTCCAACCCCCCTGCCATGGGCAGGGACATCTCCCACCAGACCAGGCTGCTCAGAGCCCCGTCCAGCCTGGCCTTGAATGTTTCCAGGGATGGGGCATCTCCCACCTCTCTGGGCAACCTGTGCCAGTGTCTCACCACCCTCATTGTAAAAGATGTCTTCCTTACCTAAATCTACCCTCTTTCAGTCTAAATACATTGCCCCATGTCCTGTCCCTACAGGCCTTGGTAAAAAAAAAAATCTCTCTCCATCTTTCTTATAGGCCCCCTTTAAGTACTGAAAGGCCGCAACAGGGTCTCCCTGGAGCTCTCTCTTCTCCGGGCTGAACCCCCCCAGCTCTCAGCCTGTCCTCACAGCAGAGCTGTGCCACCCTCTCACCATTGCTGTGGCCTCCCCTGGCCCCGCTCCAACAGCCCCATGTCCTTCCCGTGCTGAGGACCCCCGAGCTGGACGCAGGGCTCCAGGGGGGTCTCCCCAGAGGGGAGCAGAGGGGCAGAATCCCCTCCCTCGCCCTGCTGCCCACGCTGCGGGGGATGCAGCCCAGGAGACGCTTGGCTTTCTGGGCTGCGAGTGCACATTGCCGGCTCATGGCCAGTTTTTCATCCACCAGTGCCTCCAATTTGCCCTTGGGAAATGCATTTTGGCTGTTACCAATCACCTTGTTGACCTTCACTTGTTTAGAAATGGTTTTTAAGAGGAGTTGGTCCATAACCTTCCCCAGGAATGAGGTGAGACCAAGCAGCCCACAGTTTTCTGGACCTCCTCTCTTGCTCTTCTGGAAGATGGGTGCTATGTTTGCCTTTTTACAGTTGCCATGAACCTCCCCCCACTCGCCACTCATCTTTTGAAGATGAGAGAAACTACTCCGCTTCAGGGAACTAAGATTTACTTGGACACACTACAGCAGTGGAAGGTCAGAAGAGTATTATTGCTGCATGGCCAAGGAAGGGCTCGTATCTGAGGACTTGCCTCCACGCAGACCCAGCTGCTTCTGCCTCACCTGTTTCGCTGCAGCAGATGCTAACGCGTTCTGTTTCAGGTACAGAGGAGCTGCCACGTTCCACAGCTTCTCCTGCAAGGCCTACAGAAGAAAACCATGAAACGATGATAAATACCTAGCTCAGTCTAAACATTATAACGCTGCGGTAGATGAGCTTGGGAGCAGGGAAGATGCCCTGCTCTCGGCTGTACACCAACAGGTTGGTTGAAAAAGCAGGCCAAAGTTTTCTTTTGTGCTTTTAAATACAACACGGGGAACCAAGGCCTACAAAATATGTATTGCTCTATACATACACTGAGATACCTATAGAACTATAAAACAGAAGTTGAGAATAATATTAAGACAGCGATGAATTAGAGACTGGCTGAGCCAAACTCTTCAGTACTTTTTAAGGAGAACGTTATGCAGAATGAAGTCGCTTATTAGAAAAACAATAGCCCACTGCTTTATCACCTCCCTGAGACCAAGATCAGGGCAATCTCAGATTGCAGGCAAAAAGTGGAAACAATAACAACTGTCCCCGAAAACACACCTACACAGTCACATTTCTGAACTTTCCTGTCGACAGTCTCTGTCCCACCAAAGATCCTGGAGTTACTAAGAATAGTGAGTGTAAATCAGCTACTGATATTCGTATTAAAAACAAAACAAAAAACAAAAAAAACACCCAACCACACCCTATTTGCTTTTTGATTTATGTTTAAAACAATTAGGAAAGCTTGACTGGATGATTTATATCATCGCCTCCTTTTTGAAGCTGCCTGCCCTTAGACAGAGCTAAACAGAAAGCTGGCTGTAGCCAAAGCTCGAGAACAGGCAGACTAAATCCTTCACCTAGGCTGGCCCCAGAATCCCAGTTAACCACGCACAAAATCACAGGGTATATAGAGCCTTTAAAGGTCTGGAACCTTTTGAACCTCGAGAGGCTGGGGAATGAAGATACTTTTTTTCCCCCCCAACAGCTTCTTTCTCTCGGGGAAACAAGCAATTGGAAGGAAATCTACTGAAAAAGGGCTGCTCTGACATTCAGGTTCTCTCCGCCATATCAGAATTTCTAATTGTATGATATTAGGAGTTACTTTTCATTTCAGCCACATTACCAACTCCTCTGCATCACAGATGTATTGCCTGTTCTACAGCTCGAGCCACAAATGGCTGATGCAGCTTTTACCCCCTTCTTCCAACCAGAGCACTCAACAGATACACAACAGATACACACAGCGCTTGCCAGATACACAAACCATCTGGTTCGCTCCAGTCGAACCCTGGAGAAGGGCAACAAAGCCACCTCCAAATGCTGGTCCTCTGCCTGGATAGCACATTTTGCTTTGGCAAAAGTTTTGGATTTAGCTAGGAATGTACTGAACCGTAACACCGCTCATCTAAAATACGTTCTTTGGGTGATAAGCGTATTCTGAAGATTTGAGGGCTGCCATGAGATATGCCAACTGGCAGCTACGCGTTTAGCAAACAAACTGAAATCCCTTCTTGGTTTCACATAACAAAGATTTTATTGAGTCCCTTCTGGAAACCTCTTTGTTGGCTTGCTTTAGTTCTTGCTTTACATGTGCATAAATAAAATTCAAAGACCTCAAGAATGCCAGGAGACTAACTTAAATACTATTGCCCGTTGATAGCTTGAGAAGTGAAGCAAAAAATTAGTTCCCGTTTACAAGCAAGAAGCTGACTTTGAAAAGGGTTGCTGCCGTGGTGTCAAAGTAACCACTTCATCTGCTAATACCAAATAGATCATTTCAGCACCGTAAAAGAAAGCGTAACCGATATTTTGCTCAATCAAATCTAAAGAATTCCTTTGGCATCGCTGCCAAAAAAGCTGTCTACAAAACACTGTCTATAAAAACTTTACGTATAGCAGCAGTTTAGCAAAAAGCATTCCAGTGGCGAGTAGCAAAGAGAAGTTACTCTCGTAACATAAAAGGCTACAGAGTAGTTGCCTCCATTGTGATTTCTGTCAGAAAATAAACTCTGCACTGGCAAAATGCACATGAACCAACGTAAGTACAACAGCAGAGATCTGCACTGGTGTACTCGTTGGCAAAGTTACCGCATAAATTATTTGCCACAGAAGGGAAGCAGGAGTAACAGAAATCCACGGAACCTGCGTTTTCATCATACGTCAGTTTTCAGCACAAACATCAAAACGTGAAAGTGCACCGCTAAGATGGACGGGGGCATTTTTGAAGAACAGCCCAAAAAAACCCAGATGAAGTCAAACCTTGATGAGGAGCAGCTGACACCGAAGGTAAGTTGCAGTGAAATCTGCCATCCCTGCCAGTTCTGACTGCAGTTCTCCAAGCCTCTGAAGATCACTGAAGCATGTGGGGAAAAAAAAAGGAAAGGGGAAAAAAAAAAAATTGAGACAGCAAGTTAATCTAAATGCACTCAGAATGCAGCAACAGCAACGATGAAGCCAGCTATTTCTGCACCTTGCTTTTTCTTACTCGTAGAACAAGCACCAGAAACAGCAGCAAAACGCGCGCTACAAACCAGTTTGCACCTTGAGACTTGGCATCTCCTTCCTTCCCGGAGGCTGACACGAGTGCAGCAGTGGAAGCTGTAAGTCTGTCAACCCACATTACTCCGCAGCCCTATGGGAACCATACTGCATAGCAGTTCCAGATTTAACTTAAAACACTCCAGACTTCTACAGCAGCTAACGACCCATTTGTGTTACACTGCTGGGAAATCTAACTATTCGTGTTGGCTACGAAAGGTTGTTTGGAACATGTCGGGCTCCCGCAACCAAGCATATTTGAAATATAGCTGCCCTTTTAAACAAGCTGAAATCTGATGTTCCGATATTTGCCCAAGTAGCTGTTGTGTGCTGTCTCTATAAGTATTTCTGGTAAATCATACAGCAATAGAAGTAGCTTTTAACATCACAGAAAAAAAAGACAGTTAATGGAACCCAAAAAGGCTTTAGTTCTCTACTCTTAGACATGTTTTAAAATCAAAAGCGTGTATTAAGAAAACAAAACTCATTTTTTGTTATAGAACTGAAAATAGGTTGGATGACATGGATTCAACATGTCTCTGTTCTCTGTATTTTGCTTTGATCCGAAGTGTACTAACATTGTCACTCTACTTCCATGTTTCCTACGGTATTATTAAAAAGAATGTTTTTTCTTCAGATGATCCTTTTGTTTATTTTAGATTTATCTTTGCATTGATGATGCAATTCTGAAACCTTGACTCTGCCAAACCAGAAGGTTGCTGAGCGCTGACACATTCAAAAAAATCCATGGGATTATCTGTATAATTTGCAGCCAAAGAAAAATCTCTCCTAAGCAGAGGGGCTGTGCCTTCCTTCCATGCAACAACAGCAGAGCCAGACTCCATTTAATCTTTTCCCAGAGAGAAAAGAACGGACTCCTGGGTGCTCAATTCCCATGTCTGTCTTAATGCATCAGAACACACTAACAGGGAACAGCATGTCATCCCTCAGCTAACAGCTCGGCAGATATTCCATTTCCCAGTCTTCTACGGTTCCCAATTCCACTAATTCTATTTCCTTACAAATCTTAAACAGATTTCAACATCCCTGCAAGACAAAAAAAATTCCTGTTGTGTAGATGGAGAAACTAAACCACAAAGACCGATTTGCTAAAAGCCGGTCTTGCCGTTTCAGCTGCAGAAGCTGGGG